TGTCCATATTTCTGTGCTCAAAGCGGTACATTTTTTTGCATGGAAATATGTCGTTTTCTTATTGTAGGCCTGAAATTTAGGAATAACTCACTGAAATCTGTCCGAACAAGAGTCTAATAAACATCCCGGGTATGATAAAGTTTGAAACACAAAATCAAATTATAATTTAATAAATCATAAAAAAATAATAATAAATGTAATTCAATAATATAATCAAACCAAAAACACAGAAATTAGAAATATAGCGCCAAGTTCGCACATCGCTGAGCTCAGTCGCAGAATCGTTTTCAGTGTCTGATGACAAATTTCCCCCACGAATCATTATCACTCAATTCTGCAAGTGGTTCTGATTTACTATCGCTGTTCTCTAGCCGGTCTAAAACCGCTTTTGACCTAAAGGGACGCTTTTTGGACGCCATGGACGTTTCTCAGTTTCCAGGCAGAAAGAACAGTAAAAATGCAGGCAGGGCACCGGACAAAGCCCTTGGGACAAAATGTATGTGAAATGGTTTGTTACAGTAATGTTATACTATGTGATTTTAGTGAATGTCACTTTTACAACTTTCAAATTTCCCGCCGGTTCCATCCTGACGTCGCAGGGGACGGAACCCGGAAGACAGATGTCGGCATCGGCCGGAGGAGATGGCCGGGGACACTGCAGGAGGGACATCGCGGAAAGCGCAGGGCAAGGTAAGTGCAGAAGAGAGATCCCGGAGCAACGCTGCAGTGTATTCCCGAGTGTAGCTCGGGGGTTACCGCTTTTGGTACTGAAACTTTACCCCGAGCTACACTCGGGAATGCCGCCAGGGGGGTTAAATATGCAATTTGTACTTCTATATGCTGCAAGAAAAGCCAGCGTATCAAAAGAATGTCAGAGAACACTGTTTAAAAAAATTTCTAGTTTGCTTTTATTGGGGTGCGACAACAGCATACGACCAGAATCCTGTGGACCTGAATCATCATTTTGAGATGTGATTTTGAATAAACAGATGGCTTTTTTGCTTTCTGAAGTGGCAGATTCTCTTGCAGTATTGATTATGGTACCTCCACGGCTGTGTGCACACATACATACACGGGCAGGCATATCTGCATGTTACATATGTAGTCTCTTCCTTCTGTTTAGTAGGCTGCTTTAATCCACAAGACGGGTCGGTAGAAAGAAAGCCAAAACATTTTTCAATTCATATATATATATGATATATATATATATATATATATATATATATATATAAAAGATTTACAATACTGACCACAGACCAGAGGATTCTTTGCTTATATTTAGGTCATGAAGGGGTAAGCAAATGAATATTCTCACTCCCAGCCAGGAGTTTCAGACATACCTCTCCTCAGTGGCCTATATTCTGTTAGATATTTCTCTGTAGGTCCAAACACTTCCTCCTCTAAAGTCATCATGCAGTTCACAGCCTTGTGTGTTCATTAGAAATTCCACAGAGAACTATGAGGCCTTTATATAATCATCTGAACTGATCCCAAGCCTTTTCCCATGAGAAAAACTATTTCTGACAGATTCACCTATTTATATAGCTGCTCCTGGCGATTTCTTCACCTGCCCACATAAAGCAGATGTACGGCTCCTTTCATAAAGCATTAAAAGGAGAAGTATAGGCAAAGCTCTTTTGGCTCTCCTCCTGCAGGTCACAGGAGTGCACTCCTGTGACTCTTGATCAGCCGACAGCAGGCTAAAGTCGGCCGTCATAAATATTGAAAACTTAAATGTCCCACTCCAAAAATTTTTGGAGCGCAACATTTAAGTTTTCAGTATTTATGGTTTAATAACACATGATTATGAGGATGTGTACTAATGTCAGCAAACCACATTATTAAGGATATAGCAATTTATTCACTTTTTTTTTGTGGCTCACAAGTACAATTTATATATTTATAAAGTCGGCCGTTAGCTGACGTCAGTCAGTCCACTCAGGCTCTGGAGCGATCCTGACATTAAGTGCCTGGTCATACCAGTGCGATTTGCAAATTTAAATGGCATCTAATGAATGTGAATGTCGGCGTCTTAACACGTGCGATTTGCTGCAGTGTGATTTCTAAAGTGACTTCCTGCAATCTAGTTGTGATTTCACATATATAGAATATCATGGAAAGCGCACTGCAAATAGCAAGAAATTGTTTAAAATCTTCACAAGTAGCAATACAGTCTTCAGAAATCGCAGCGGTGTGACCGGTGGCTAATATTGGGATTCACTCAGATGCCTGGACCGGCAGCTAGCTCAGGCTCTCAGAGCGCTACTCACACAACCCACAGCCTGGGGCTCCAGGGAGCCCTGGCGGGGCAGAGGAGAGAGCCAGTGACTCACAGTCACCACTCTCTGCTCACTGAAGACCGAGAACCGAGTGATCTGCAGTGTTTAATCGCTCGGGTCTCGGTCTTAGGGACGGCGGGGGACAGAAGCAGCATCAGATCAATGCTGCCTCCACCCAGGTAAGTATATATTCGTTTTATTAAAACCCCATACTTCTCTTAAAAACACTCTCTAACTTATTTTTAAACCTCATTGGAGTCAGCTGAAAATACTTCACTTTTAAAATAAGTATGCCAATCCTGGTGCGCTAGCTTTGTGAATTAAGCCCATGGTCCAATAATTGTGGAAAGAATCCAAAAGGTGTTTTTTCCTGAAGACAGTAGTTGAAAAAAGTTGTTTTTCCTGTGTTGTTACTTTTGTTGGTCCACTCTTTACTGCTGTTAACTTCGGTAGCAAGATAATTTTTTTTTTTTTCCAGAAAACATTTTTACTTGTGTTGCATCTTAGTGCTGCAAATCACATACAGCAACTTCCCCCATCTACATGCACAGCAATCCTCAGGGTAAGCTGGCCAAACGTGACAATGGCAGAACAAGTCTGCACATGGATTGTCGGCACAGCAAATTATCGTCTCTGCTGGATGCTTAAGTGACACAACAGGAGAGCAACTGCCTTAAAACATAGGTTTACACCTACTTTTAAGTGGAACTAAACCCATTGATCTAACAGTTTCCAAAAAATGTTACAGTCAAGGCATGCCGTGAATAACTGTCACTGTTGCCTATGTTCTCAAATGATTACCATAGGTTCACATCTGTGCGGGTGGTGCCGCTGCGGATCTGCACGAAAATCCGTGCAGCCGCACAGAAACACAAGGACCCGCGGGTGCCATTAGTTCTAATGGCACGCCGCCCGCACTGGGAAACGCAATCGTACTGGGAACGAGGTTTCCGTGCGGGTGTAGTTTTCCAAAGAAGTGCAGGGACTTCTTTCTCTGCGTGTCACGGGCACAGGAGTCCATTCAAATGAATGGGCTCTCGTGCCCGTGCAAAACGCGGCCCGCACAACCGCATAGATGTGAACCGGGGTCTAAAGAGGAGTTACGACCCTTGGGAGACCCATGTGAAAATACTGAGGCTGCTGACTTATTAGGGCACTAATCTGTGCAGCGGTGCCCTCGCCAATTCTTCAATCGGCTATTGGGTGCTGGCACCGCCATCTTTACTAAAGCGAAAATGGCAGCAAAGCCTTGCGGCTTCACAGACGGTTTTGTACTGCGCATGCGCAAAGCGCCAATCAAGCTTACATGCTTTCAAGCCTTGAGAAACCACTTTCGAGAGATGTGACACTCTGGTGTGAATGGGAACCCTAGGATACATGGGGAATTCCAATGTTTCATACAAAAGAGATTGCCTCGGGGGGTCAGGAAGGAATTTTTTTCCCTGCAGGAGCAAAGTTTGATCGTGCTTTGCTGGGTTTATTGCCTTCCTCTGGATCAACTGTGGGTATAGGATTATAACTGTTTTTTTTGGTTGAACTGGATGGACTTTTGTCTTTATTCAGCCAGACTAACTATGTAAGCACACAAAAGCCCCCAAATAAAAAAGAAAAACCCTAAAAAAAAAAAAAAAAACCACAAAAAAATGAATGGGCTCAATGCCCGTGCAAAACACGGCCCGCACGGTCACATAGGTGTGAACCGAGGCTTCTTCTCTGCTTGTCACGGGCACGGGAGTCCATTTAAATGAACGGGCTCTTGTGCCCGTGCAAAATGCGGCCCATTTTATTTCTCTTTTTCAAAAAAGGATCTGGAAAATGTTGTGGTTTGAAATCTATGGGTATATCTTTGGTGTACATGACTTTGTACCCTGTCATGTTTCACATGACTGTCTTATGCCTTTAAGTGTTCTTTGTATTTTGTCTCTGCTCCTCCCTTTTCTCTGGTTTAGTTCTTGCTGTATAGATAGCCCACCCCTTTTCCCAGAAATGCATTTCAGCTTCATGCCTCATGTTTTATGGAAGCTGATCACATTATGATCTTTTGACCTATCCGACGTTCATTGTTGTAAGATTCCCTCAGTTTAAATAAACTTGACAAGATCTACAAGGTGTCATCCAATCGAGTCACTGCCTGTGTTATTCAACTAAGATTGGAGTTATCGCTATCTCATCACATGTGTAAGTTACAGAGATCACACTTTCAATGCTTTGATTGGAGAGACAGAACATACCCCTTTTATATTATTAACGATGTAACTAAGGCTGGCCATAGACTGGCCGTTTATTGGCCAAATTGTCGGCCGATAAATGAAAACTCGGTCGTTGCCGTTGCTGCCACCAATGTCTACAAAAAACAGCAGTTTTTCGTGGATTTTCCAGCATGACCGATAAAAAGAAACGAGAAGATCCACAAAAAATGGCCGACGGCATTGCCCCACTAATGGCGTGAATATCGGCCGATTTTTCGTGCCGATAAACGACCCATCTATGGCCTGCATAAGGCTACACTCCGTTTCAGATTGTGGTTGTCTGATTATATTTGTACATGGATCCATACGTCAATTAATAACAGATCGGATTTAAAAAAAAATTGCAGTACTTATAGAAGCCACATTTAAAAAAAAAAAAAAAAGCTGAGATTAATTACCATACAAAGCTACCTAAAATAAGGGCCTGCTTTAAAAACAGAAAAAAAAAAAAAAAAAAAAAGGATGCTCTTACCGAACTGACTGAGGACAGATGACTGTGGCACTGAAGGCTTAATGTCCCAGGAAGAGGCAGGTGCTGCATTACTGCCACTTTGCTGAGAATTCTGGGTAGAGAACTGCCCCAATCCAGGACTCTTCAGCTGTTCCAATATTTGGGCACCAGCGGAATTTGTCAGTTTTGACGTTCCAAGCTCACCAAACCCAGACCCGAGCACAGAAGACTGGAAGACAAGGAAGGCATGACAATGTTGATAAAGTAGGACAATAGCCAAAAAAAAAAAAAAGCAAAAACAAATTACATGATGCAGTCTGTCACTATGGTGGTGTTATTAACACAGCAGGTTCTTTTTTTGTAACATTTTAATTACCCGTTCATCCTGTCAGCAGACTAGTTATTTTTCCATATCGTGCAACAGGTCAAGCTGTCCAGCAAAGGTGGCAGTTACAAGGGTGGGAAAAAAAACATAAAACACTGGGGAATGCATAAAATAGTCAGTATTATTTATATGTCTTAAACTTTTTTTTTCCCCCAAAAGAACATTTTAAAAACAGTAACCACTTAAAAAGCATTAGCTGGAGTTTGCTTTAATTTATTTATTTTATTTAAGAGGCACTAACACTGCCCGTGAATTTTACTTTCCATATACCACTTAACTTCGATGCTCCTTTATGCAATATAAACACACTCATAGGGAGTGATGAGCTAATCACTGCCAGGTTCAGGTTATGTGTGGCAAACTTTACCGGTGTTCAGGAGTCAAATCCAAAATGGCGGTCAACCTTAGAAGTCAGTACTGACCATTTTCTACGATAATAAAAACGGTACGGGGACTTAGGGTACATTGGTACATGTTTCAATGCATTTTTTTTTTTTCCTTTTATTTTTTCAAATAATTCCTGTCAGCGGGGAGCAGTGATTTTAATATTTAAAGTGAAACATTAAAAAATCCACAATGCCTTTAAAATAAAACCTGCTTGGGAAGATGTCCTCAAACAGCATGCAAAGCGGCACATCTGTACATGTATACAGTGTAGTACATTTACAAAAGGGGGAAAATGCCTTTTAAAGTGAATGCAAAATTACTTCTATTATTTGCTTCATTTTGGTCTGTTAAATACACCTCAAATAGCATTTTATTATAGCTGTTAAACAACTGCAAAAAAATAAAAGTACTGTTCCAGCCAGAAGGCTTGACAGCTGAGGGATACCCTCCTGTACTCTACTGCCTCAATTAGCATTGTTGCCTGCGATCTCAGGGGACTACAAAGCACCTTCCCTTGTAATGGAGAAGAGGAAGCAGCAAAAAGAAGATTTTTTACCTTCATGCATAGAATGCATGAAGGTAAAAAACCTTCTGTCTTTACAACCACTTGCCCACCAGAGGATTTCCCCCCTTCCTGACCAGGCCATTTTTTTTGCATTATGGCGCTGCATTACTTTAACTGACAAATGCGCAGTTGTGCAACACTGCACTCAAACTAAATTTATGTCCTTTTCCCCCCCCCCCACAAATCAAGCTTTCGGTAGCATTTCATCACCTATAAAAATAAAAGAAAAAAATAATTTTGCGAAAACCCCCTGATATTTTTGACTTTTTACTATTAAACATGTCTAGTAAAAAAAATTTTAAAAATCAAATTGTCATAAATTTAGGCCAAACTGTATTCTGCTCCATGTGTTTGCTAAAAAAAATCCCAATACGTGTAAATTTATTGACTTACGTAAAAGTTATAGCGTCTACAAATGGCGGTATAGATACTGGGATTTTTTTTTTAATAATAACGGCGATGATCAGCTGCTTATAGCGGGACTGCGGCGGACATTCTGACACTGGGGGGGAACTGATTTGGTGTCAATGACATCCCCAGTGACATCAATACAGTGATCAGTGCTTAAAAAAACAAAAATAAAAAACACTAACATTGTACTAATGGCACTGGGCAGGAAGGGGTTAACATAAAGGGGCGATCAAAGGGTTAACTGTGTACAGGGAGTGTTTTACTAGGGGGTCGTGTCAGTGTGCTTCACTGTAATCACACTGCTTTGGATGGCTGTACTACGCACAGCTATCCAAAGCAGTGTGCCCGAGTTGACAAAGGAGGAGAACGGTTAGTAAACAAAACAGTTCTCCTCCCTGTTGGAGATACTTGGAAATCACCGCCCGGGACCCGGTGATGGACGGCGGCGTGGGTAGGGCAATGCAAAATCACACACACATTATATTATATATTATATATATCTATATATACACACAAACACATATAGTAATTACCGGCCGGGGCCCGGTGATTGAGAGCCGCAAACGTGAATGGCGGCGCGGATAGAGTGCGCGCCCCCTACCTGAAATGTGAAATGTGAAATCACACGTGTGTATACACACACACACACACACACACACACACACACATATATTTTATTTATTTCAGGTACTTGTATAGCGCCGTCAATTTACGCAGTGCTTTACATATATATTGTACATTCACATCAGTTCCCGCCCTCGAGCAGCGTACAATCTAAGGTCCCTAACTCACATTCATACATACACATACTAGGACAATTTAGACAGGAGCCAATTAACCTACCAGCATGTCTTTGGAGTGTGGGAGGAAACCGGAGTACCCGGAGGAAACCCACGCAGGCACAGGGAGAACATGCAAACTCCAGGCAGGTGGTGCCGTAGTTGGGATTCGAACCAAACGACCCTGGTACTGCCAGGTGGAAGTGCTAACCAGTGTGTGTGTAGGTGATTTTACGCACCCATGCCACCCTGTAGCAGTATTTTTGCTATAGAACGATCGGTAAGAGGTTAAGGGAATTCCTTGGGGGACCTATAGGTCACCAACTTTTTTGGGCACAACCCGAAATTGGGGATTTTATTGTACTTTCACTAATAATGGTAAACAGGACAAATAGAGAGGGTGAACCTCCTTAACAGGGGCACAGACAGCAATTAAAACTGACAAGAATTCTAGTCCCTCTCCACTCTATCCAAAATAAAAAAAAAAAAAAAAAAGTTTACTTTAAACATTTTCATAAAACAGGAGTCCATGATGTCTGCACAGCACTGAAGATGTGATTTACCAGGCTCTGAGGAGTAAAGCTGTTCACTGCGCTGGAGCTGCTAGCTGTGGATGTCATCTGAGAGCTATGCTGAGAGTTTGTGAACACCAGGGCCTGACCAAAGTTCTGCTGCGATGATGACTCAAAACCGGCAGATTCTGTTTCAGTGCTGTTTGTCTGTGGCTTCTGAAGGAGGGCTACCAAGTCAATGCTGCGGAATGGAAACAACTGTTAAAATACAAAGCTTACATGGGAGACATTAGAACACTGAGTAAAAAATGCAACAAAACACAGACATAAACCAAAAGCAGAACAATCTGGTGTCAGGCTTCCTGTTAAAGTAACCTCTGCGTTCACTTCCAACGCATCAATTATCCCAAACAGTACTACAGCCTGCCTATAGAGAATGTCCCTCTTCAGGAGCTGCGGACAAATTACCATTGCGCTCTATAGGCTGCCTATGGTTTAAAAAAAAAACAAAAAGAAACAAACCACTTTATATACATTTACCCCTTGCCATCCAGAGGGATTTACCCCCCTCTCTGACCAGGTCAGTTTTTGCGATATGGCGCAGCATTACTTTAACTGACAATTGCGCGATCATGAAACGCTGCACCCAAATTAAATTTACAACCTTTTTTGACCACAAATTGAGCTTTCTTTTGGTGGTATTTGATCGTCTGTACATTTATTTTATTTTTATAGCGCAAAAAAGACCGCCAATTTTGAAACCCTATTTTAGAATTTTTGCTATTAAGCATGTCCAGTATAAAAAAAAAAAAAAAATCTAATTTCATCAAATTTAGGCCAAAATGTATTCCGCGACATGTCTTTGCTACAATAAAAAATCCCAATATGTGTAAATTAATAGGTTTACGTGAAAGTTGTAGCGTTTACAAAATGGTAGAGATTGCCAGTGACACCAATACAGTGATCAGTAAAAAAAAAAAAAAAAAAAAAACACTGACACTGTACTAATGGCATTGGGTAGGAAGGGGTTAACATGAGGGGCAAATAAAGGGTTAACTGTGTGCAGGTAGTGTTTTACTAGAGAACGTGTCAGTGTGCTTCACTGTAAGCACACTGCGCTGGATGGCTGTGCTGTGCAACGCCATCCAAAGCAGTGTGCCCGAGCTGACAGCTGAAAGAACAGTAAAAATGCAGGCAGGGTGCTGGACAAAGCACTCGGGACAAAATGTATGTGAAATGGTTTGATACAGGAATTTTATACTATGTGATTTTAGTGTATTTAGTGAATGTCACTTTTTGACATTTTTAAATTTCCCGCCGGTTCCGTCCCCCGTATGTATGTCTCGACGTCGCAGGGAACGGAACCCGGAAGACAGATGCCGGCATCAGCCGGAGGACATGGCCAGGGACGCTGCAGGGGGGACAGTGCGGGAGCGCAGGACAAGGTAAGTGTTGGAGGGATCCCGGAGCAACGCTGCAGTGTATTCCTGAGTGTAGCTCGGGGTTACGGCTTTTGGTGCTGAAAATTAACCCCGAGCTACACTCGGGAATACCGCCAGGGGGAGGTTAAATGACCAGATGCATTTCTAATATCCAACTGGAACACTTGCTTCAGGGTCAGGAAGGTCTTGAGGCAGTAACATACAGGCAAAAGCAATCCAAAACCTTTGCCTGAGCAATCTGTCACTGTCAGTCCCTGGAGAGCCTCAATTTTACAAATGACACGTGGCCAAAGTGATGAGATCATTCATGTGACCATGCAATAAAGGGAAGGAAGAATTACATTTGACAAAGAAAAGAATGAAATCTGAAATGTTGTAGTTCTTGATTAGACACAGAAACCCAAAACAAGAGCCCTAATGAAAGCCAAAACATCCTGTATAGGTTTTCAAGAAGACAAGTTTAAATAAGCATCCCCATTTTACCTCTGTCCTGCGGTGATGTGGTTCTCTGTAGGGACAGAGGATGCAGTAAAGACCTTGGTTTCAGAAAGCTGCAAGGAAATACAGAATACCAGAATTAATTAAAATGGGGAAAAAAAAGAAAAAAACAGTGCCATTAAGCAATATTTACAGCCCCTAGTTATAATGGAGCCATATGCAACTAAAAAAAAAAAAACACAAAAAAAGAACCAAAAAAAAAAAAAAAAAAAAAAAAACAGCATATTTATAAAGAACAGCAATGTACTTTACAAATGTGCATTGAGCTCTGCATGGTGCAGGAGCATGGCAAGCTTTGCACAGCGCTCTCTATTTCATGAATACTTCTGGGTGTGGGAAGCATGACGCACATGATGCTTGGTGACAAACCGCTCAGACACCCAGCACTGTCAGACAGGGGTGAGGACAAAGTATTGATCCTTAGTAAGTTCCGTGTTGGGAGACTGCATTACTGACTTAATCTGGTCATTGAAATGAATTGACATTCGGGCGCTAAACGCACATAGCGTGATTGAGCGATTAGAAGCATTTAGTGTTTTTTTTCTGCCAGAACTCTGCTGCTCCTGGACGCACTGGCAGTGGGTGTTTTTCTGCCTCTAAAAGTTTGTGTGATGGACACATAGGCTAACATGGACATATTGGCTAACAAGCAGGGGAGTTTAGAGGCAGGAAAATAAACTACCAGATTTCCTTAGGAGCAGCTGTGAAAAAATATCCAGTGTGCATGAGGCTCAAGAAAGACCACTCCAGATCATGTACCTTTAGGCTAGGTTCACATCTGTGCGGGTACGCACTAAAATCAGTGCAGCCACATCACATGCACAGAGGAATGCGCACCCGCGGGCGGGTGCCTTTAGTTCAAATGGCCTGCCGCCCGCACTGGAAGACGCAGCCGTACTGGGAACCGAGGTTCCCGCGCGGGCTGCGTTTTCAGAAGAAGTGCAGGTCCTTCTCTGTGTGTCAAGGGGCACGGGAGTCCATTCAAATGAATGGGATCTTGTGCCCACGCAAAGCGCAGCCCGCACAGCCGCATATATGTACCTAGGGTTACCGCTGCTGGGTCGCATATATGCGGTACGCGATTTGCACGGGCACGAGAGCCCATTCATATCCTCAGTGATACCCCACGAGGTGAGATCTTCCATGGAGCCCCAGTCCCAGGGACACAGAGTCGTCTTTAGCCTCTTTCATTTTATAACAATTGCTCCAACAGTTGATCTATTTCACCAAGTTGCTTGGCAATTTCCCCGTAGCCCTTTCCAGCCTTGTGGAGGTCCACAAGTTTGTCTCTGGTGTCTTGACAGCCCTTTAGTCTTGCCCATGGTAATAGTTGGCGTCTGACTGACTGTGGGGTGGACAGGTGTCTTTAAAGAGCTCAGACAGTTGCTACTAAGATAGATTAATGAGTGGAGTAGAGGTGGACATTTTAAAAGGCACAGTAACAGGTCTTTGAGAGCCAGAATTTTTGCTGTTTCTTAGGTGTTCAAATACTTATGTTCAGCAGTGCAAGACAAATAAATTCTTTAAAAATCATACAATGTGATTTCCTGAATTTTGTTTTTAAATTCTGTCTCTCAGAGTGGGAATGCACCTACAATGTGAATTTCAGACCCTCCATGATTTCTAAGTGGGAGAACTTGCAAAATCACAGGGTGTTCAAATACTTCTGTTCCTCACTGTAAATGTAGTTTTAAAGGGATCTAAGAAAACCAAATTGGGCATGTCTAAATGTTATGTGTGTGTTAAATTTAGAATGCCCATGAAAAAGCTAGTGGGGAATAAAAATAAGTGCAGATGACTCCAGCCAGTAAATAGGGGAAAGTGTCCTGACAGGTCTATTTTAGGAAGAAGGAAGTCTTGGCTCAGTACATTGGCAGGAAATGTTCCTAGAGCTGCTCATTTAAGTCTCCTAGCCATTTAAATCTCCTTATGTGGGCCCGCCTTTACAACAGATGTAATGCGGTTAAAGAAAGATGACATGGAAGAGTAGAAATTTTCCCCTCCCTCCTTATCAAGGTTTAATTTTCTGTTTGAAGTGTTTAAACCTTGAGCACTTTCATGTTTCTATAGCATCATGGTACTGTCAACAATGGCGGCCAGCATACAAGATCGAGCAAAGCCTTAACTGCAAACCCTGAAATCACCAAAGTTGCTGACCAGGGCAATTTTGATATTTTTTATATACCTTTTTGTGCTAGAAAGTTACATAGAACCCCCAAACAGTATACATTTTCTGAAAGCTAAGGCCTTGGAGAATAAAATTGTGGCGGATAGGGGGTGGACTCACTTTTGTTGCCAGCGGTTTAGACATTAATGGCGGTGTGTTGAGTTATTTTGAGGGGACAGCAAATTTACATGTTATACAAGCTGTACACGGACTACGTCACATTGTAGCAAAGTGTCATTTCTTCAGTGTTGTCACATGAAAAGATAGAATCCCCCCTTCGGTAGTCTTCCAGGGGGTGAAGACCCGGATGAATGCTATGTTGTTCAATGAACAGCTGTTTAGCATTCTTTATGATTCTCATTGGAGATTCCTTAAGGTTTGGGAACCTTGGATACGTTATTCCTTGCCATCCCTGCCTCCTACTAGTTATGGCCTCCTATAGTTGCTGCCTATGCTAGCCCCGGATCCGTGATCCCTCTAGTTGCCCTTCTTTCATGTTTTCTTTCGGATTCCCTTTTGTTTTATTTTCTTTTTCTCTAACCTTTTTTCTTTTCTTTTTTCCGATATTATGTTGGATTTCTGCTGCTATTTGGTTCGGCTTTTTGCCGTCCGTTCTTGATGTCATTGGACTTGGTCAGTCGTTATTTGACTAATACAAGTCAGCCGGATGTCTCTGTTTATGTGTTATTGTTCTGCTCTGCCCCCGCGAGGGCAGATTTTGAGCTTGTTATATTCTTAAAAACAAAAAACTTTCTTAATAAAAATATTGAAACAGAAAAGATAGAATCAAATATTTACAAAAATGTGAGGGGAGGACTCACTTCTGGGAGATACTGTATATTTCAAAGTCCCTTTAGATAAATGCTTACATTATTCCCACAACTGCTGGGATGCAGAGTCCACACAAGTACCACCAAAAGGGTGTTACAGCACCTGTACATGACAGATCACGTATGACCCAAAATTCTTTTTTCGGTCACTAGGGAACATTACGGGATGCATTAAAAAATTTTAAAAAACATTCATAAAGGATAATAAAAAAATGGTCAGAAACGCATTAATATTTCCCGAGTTATTGTACCACAGCCCTTTCGCTGCCACAGCCGCTTTCGCATATTTTGCCCACGTTTAAAAAATGCTTTCAGGCCTGAAGATTACACAATCTCTGCAAACATTATATATTTTCTGAAAGCAGACACCCTAGAGAATGCAAAAGTAGTAGTTCCAATGTTGTATGTCACACGATATTATTGCAAAATGTCAGTAAAAAAACACATTATAGTGAATTTTAGGGCAAATGCAACAAATCACCCAAAGTCTTGGTAAAATATAAAAGAGGTTGTGCCGAGTAAATAGATTCCCAATATGCCAAATTTTGTACACTTATAAAATGGCAACAAACTTCAGCACCCTATATTGTCTATAGGCAATGCTTCAAAAGCCCCTATAGGCCCTGACGTGTGTTTACGTTCGTACATGCGTATATTTAAGGGTGGGAACTCAGGTTTTTTTTTGGAGGATTTTATGTGTTTGGGTGTAACTATTTGACTATTTTTTGGCAATAAAATTTTTTTATTTTTTTTTTTAAATCACACAGCGAACACAAAGTTCTCTATGTGATACGGATATCCTGGGAGGCTGGGCTCCTTGCTTTCTGTTTAGGGCTAACATTGTTTTCTTTCCCAGAATTGTTTACTCCCAAAAAGCTCATGGCTGGTGAAAGGGCTCTTGAAGTTTAGTTCTTGGGCCGTGCCTACATCAATAGGAACAAACATGCCAGCAGCTGGTCCTGCATGAATTTTACAAGGCTGGTGATGCCACATGGAGAAACAGTAAGGTGGGAAATAGGGCGCGTCGGTGGACTATCCTGTGGAAGTATGGCAGGTGATGGATGGTGTGTAAGGAAACCAGTACTGAGTAGCACTTCTAAAGAGTGGAGGCAAACTCTGTGCAGAAGAAGGTGAAACAGGAAGGAGCTTCTAAGTGCAGAATTCCAGGTCAATGTTAATAAAAAGCGGTTAAAAACACTTACAATGTAGTAGTGCAAAACAGGCTCTAATGGGCAGCACAGTGGCTAAATGGTTAGCTCTTCCGCCTGGCAGTACTAGGGTCGCTGGTTCAAATCCCAACCACAGCACCACCTGCCTGGAGTTTGCATGTTCTCCGGGAATGCGTGGGTTTCCTCCAGGTACTCCTGTTTCCTCCAAAAGACATGCTGGTAGATTAATTGGCTCCTGTCTAAATTGTCTCTAGTATGTGTATGTATGAATGTACGTTAGGGACCTTAGATTGTAAACCCCTTGAGGGTTAGGGACTGATGTGAATGTACAATATATATGTAAAGCGCTTCGTAAATTGACGGCGCTATATAAGTACCTGAAATAAATAATGTAATCCGTCAGTAGCAGGTCTCAGTCCTCTGAGCAATTGAGCCACTGTGCCAGCGGTCCGAACAGAGCGGCAGCCATCTTTAACACCCCTCCTCAAGCTCCCCCTGCAGCTGCTGGCTGGCACAGCGGCTCCATTGCTCAGAGGACAGAGCCTTGCTACTGACGGATTACATTAGAGCCTGTTTTGTACTACTACATTGTAAGTGTTTTTAACCGCTTTTTATTAAATTTGACCTGGAATACTGCACTTAGAAGCGCCTTCCTGTTTCACCTTCACATGGAGAAACAAAATCTGCTTCCCTACAGTAAAGTAAAATGAATGAATATTGGAACTAGAGGGGATAGGATAGGGAGGATTCGGGGGTGAACCTGCATAATGCTTGGACATACACTTAAAAAAAATAACTAAAACCAGCCTGTAGAGATGCTGTTCAAGGGACAAAATGTTGGTCAAATAACAAAACCAGACTTACAATCTTTATTTCTCTGTTTAGTTTACTCTACCACTCCCATTGTCATCCCATCGGGACACCACGGTTATTGGGATCGTACGCTTTAGTAACCTTTCTTGTATTGTTACTTTATTATATTTCAGAGAATACACACCAGAGGAATGATCTAAAATGTTACCTTTTAAAAACACCCTAAGCTACCTTGGCACTAAAGGCGGGTACTACATAAGTGTTGTTTTTGTTACACTAGGAGCAGCGACAAAGGGCAAGCCGTAACTCCATCCCTGTGGACCTTTGTTGCAGCATTATCCGTTTCACTCAAGAAGGTCAATTTTAAAATCAGATAACTAATGTTTAATTTTACTGTTAAATTCAAGATCACTCACGTCTTCATTCCAGTCCTCTGCCGTCCATTCCTCAATAGAATTCCTCCACGCACCTGACAAATGAACAATAAACTACAATTATTACCAATCTCACTTGAAGCAAACAACCCTGATGTATATTCTGAGAATATTCTCACTAGACCTTCTCAGTGGATTTGCTTTAAAAAAGTCCTGGATTCTTTCTTGGATACACAGATACTAACATTTATAGGTAAAGATCCAGGGAATATCCGATTGCCTTGCCGGGGATCAGGAAGGAATATTTTCCCCTGCAGGAGCAAATTGGATCGTGCTTTGCTGGTTTTTTTACCTTCTTCTGGATCAACAGTGGGTGTAGGATTATAACTTTTTTTTTTTTTAATGGTTGAACTGGATGGACTTTTGTCTTTTTTTCAGCCAGACTAACTATGTAACTATATCCTCTGTGGCTTGGGTCAGCAATTCTGGCACATAAGGGCTCCTTCACAAAGGCCCTCAGCCCCATACAGTGTGAAGAGCCCTTTATTTTTCTGTCCTAGCTCTGAGCTGCGTGCAGGCAGCCCATATTAGTGAATAGACATACATTGGCTGTATGAACTCACCCGCACTGGTTAATTACCTGTAAAATATAAGGGGATATTGGAATAGTCACAATGATTTCACCAAGCACCCACCCAACCACCATTTTGTTTGTCTATATATTCCTACACACACCAGTCACCTGACTCACAATAATGTAGTGTTGCCATTAACAATGGTACATTAGAAGAAGAGAGAAGTTTAGAAAAAGAAATAAGCAGAAAAACATTCCAGGTGACAGGGAAGAGAGTCGAAGAAGACAGCAAATCATATTACCTGCTTTAAGATCTGGTTACATGCATGTCATGTTTCACATGAGTGACACATGCCTTTAAGTGTTCTTTGTATTTTGTCTCTGCTCCTCCCTTTCCTTTGGTTTAGTTAATGCTGTATAGATAGCCCACCCCTTTTTCCCAGTAAGGCATTTCAGCTATAAGCCTCATGTCATGAAGCAGATTATGATCTTTTGACCTATCCAATGTTCATTGTTGTAAAATTCTCTCAGTTTATGGAATAAACTTGACAAGATCTACAATGTGTCATCTGATCGAGTCACTGCCTGTGTTATTCAACTAAGATTGGAGTTATCGCTATCTCATCACAACTGTAAGTTACAGAGATCACACTTTTAATGCTTCGATTAGAGTGACAGAACAATGCAGCTTGTCCATTCTGACTTCGTTGGGAAAGCACATTTTCTTTAAAAGTATTGAACAGAGGGCAAAGCAACATGTTCACTATAACAGCAGCCCCACCAGCAACACAAGCTTGCTTTTCCATTGCTCTTCCACTTTGCATGCAAAGATCAATGCAAAATTTCTGGTACTTCAAATTATAAAAGGGGCACACAACTTGCTTCCCCTTTCTCCCACCTGGCAGCACTGGTTCTTAGATACTCGGGCACCCAGAGCTATCGTGAAGCCTGTATGAGCTTTAAGGGGGCCATCGTTAAAGTGAACCTCATGCTTTGACCTGCAATTGGCAAACCATAGGTTCACTTTAGGGAAAATGCCAGCCTACACATTCATATGCCAGTCTGACAGTACCAGTATTTCTATTGACTCAGAGTCACTAAACTGCACCTGTCTCAGGTAGAAATATGGTCATTAACTAAAAACGAACCCGTCTGGTGCTGATCAGTAGAACTCACCGATCTGCTGCTGCATGGCAGATCAGGAGCCCCACACAGCCAATAAGCATCTGACAAGGCCTAGTATTCAATAAAGGTTTTACAAGCTAATTGTAGTAACAGGTTTAACCTGAAATATATATATATATATATATATATATATATATATATATATATATATATATAAATAAAAATCTGGTCAAGTGAAACCAATTAACTTATGACTGTGTTCAAAGCAGCAGGTAACCATATGAACGCTGAACTTCAGATCTGAAGCAGCAGCTAGGAAGAGGTCTATGGAACAGCCTAAAAAATGGTTTCAGGAAGGAAATCTACGAGGTAATAAATATCCAACACAAACAAGACAGAGGGTCTTAAAAAAGAAAGAAAAAAGAAAAAAAAAAAAACAAAACAGATAGTGAGGAAGGAAGAGGTGGGGGTAAAGCATAATAAAAGCTTACCAGTACCATCATCACCGTCGGTCTGGCCTGTTTCCCAAACGTCCGATTTTACTCCAAACCCATCATTGGTGCTGGGCTCCGTGTAATCTGCAGGATTGAATGTCCTAAAACAAATACAGGTTTCATTTTTATTTTTGCTTTCTTATGTTTTTTACTTTGCCCTAATAAAAAGATGTGTGTTAATACTGTACCCCATGCCTTGTGCAGAAAACCTTCCCGCACCTCTGCCTCGTCCACGGCCTCCAAAGCCTTCAAGGGAAAAAGTATTCACAATAATTAACATGAAAATACTACTTTTAAAAGCAAGGAAACAAAACACCAATTTATTTTTTCATATTTTAGTGACTCCAATGGCAATATCTCCCCTTGTTATTGTGCCTCTCCATCCCCTTCTGTAACTGTGTTACACCCCAAACATTTGGGAATGCTATATTTTGAAGACTCTACCAAAGGAGCAAGACATGTCTTGAGAAATCTGAAGACTACCATTTATCTCCTTCAGAAATTGCAATCTGCGTAGCTGTCACATTCTGACTCTGATTAACCTCTTCACGCCGGCCGCATGCAAATGTGTGGCCTCCCGGCGTCTTGGCCTTGATGCCGAGCGGCAGCACATTCGCGTGCAATTAACAAAAACATATGTGCCGAGAGTGCGTGCCCTGCGTGCTCCCAGCACATATGCCCGGTACTCACGGAAAGGTTCCGATCTCCTGTTTCGACTGGAACCTTTCCCGATCATGTGACGGCGAATCACAATAGTCACATGACCTTTAAACCCTGTCCCGGCTTCTGAAACCCTTAAAGTGCAGGGAGGACCCGGCGCCAAGGGATTAAATAATGACCCAGAAAAGCGTGCATGTAACATGTCAGACTTCTCTGCTCATTATATAGGCAGCACATGGTCCCTGTTTAGTAGTGCAGCACAGTGAGGGTACTTTATTGTTCAGGATCAGATGAGATAGAACTCCAAACCTACCTGTTTACAGTTATAGCAAAGAGGCTTCTAGCAGCTAAAACAGCACTGGCTGCACCCACATGTCTATCATAACGGGTTATGTGTACAGGATAAGTGAAGAGGCAATACCACAGTGCCAAAAATGTTCCACTATTGAGTAATTTACCATATTCACCTCCATTCAGAATACTGCAGGGGTAAAGCTGGGGATGGCAAGGATCTGCGTTTGGATGGTTCATGACCATAACACCATCCTAACACAGATGCATGCTCCATCTTGTCCCTCTCCTGCACCTGGAGGGGGCATTGACTCTACAGAAAGGCGTGACATTTAGTTACCAGAAAAAGATTTGGCCATTTTCTTTAACCCAACTCTGTATAAAACTGAACTTATATTTTAGGATCCATTCACAACTGCAGTGCAGTAAAATACATTTTAGCACGCATTATTGCAATGCACGAAAAGGAATTCATTGCAGTGCCACTCTTTTTAAATAACACCCTGCCACAGACGATGGCAAGGCAATGCAGTGTGCAGTTTATCAACTTTCGCTGCCAGCCCCTTCAAAATAAAATGCCTGCCTTAACCCAGCAACCTTGATACAAAATAACGCATTGCATTCACGCATATGCGATGACAAAATACAGATTTTTTTTTTTTTTGTTTGCTTGAAGTCTTGAATTCCCATACAAGTCTATTGGAATGCAAAACCCACTTGAAGCAGGTCTAATGTGGGTCAGGAGGTGGTCAAATGCACCCATCAATAAATTCTGAATAATCTCAGAAAAGTCTCAGACTGATGACATAGAAAACTTTATGAAAATCGCATAGCTCAAAAAAAAAAAAAAAAAAAAAGTTTTTGCAAGTTATTTACCCCCAAAACAACGTGGTTTTGTCTTATAAGCCCTAGTTCAGACTGGATCGACTTTGAAATCATGCAACTTCACCTGGATGGCAGTGCGACTTCATAGATATCTGTGTTAATTCATGCACAGATGTCAATGCAAGTCGAACCCCAAATCAGGAATAATAATGCAGGAACTACTTTCCTATTTGGTGCAACTTCGACGAAGTTGGAGCCACACTGATCAGAACAGTTGCACCGACTATCATTTGCATGCGATTTGAACGGTCAAACCGCATGACAATTTGTATCAGTGTGAACCAGAGCTAAAACTGTAAAATTAGAAAAAATATCAACAAGTTCAAGAGAGAGTAACAAAGCCGTATTGATTAAATGTAGCAGAGAAAAGTCAGGGCTGTGTAAATCTCAAAACTGGCTGCAAATAAAACTTTGTATAATATACGTATATGCACATACATACAATGTACTGGGCTGATGATCACCTGTAATTAAACTTTAACCCCTTCACGTCAGTGCCTCCTGGCCCTTTAAGGGTTCCAGAAGTCAGGAGGCGGGGCAGGGTTTAGGGTCATGTGACGGCGTTCACATGACCGTGAAAGGTCCTGATCGAAAGAGAAGATTGGGATCTTTCCGTGAGCACCGGATGTGTGCTGGGAGCACGCAGGGTCGCGCGTTCTCGGCGCATATGTCCTTTTTGAATAGACCGCAAATGTGCAGCCGATCGCTGTCTAGGCCCAGACGCCGGGAGGCTGCACATTTGTGTGCGGCCGGCGTGAAGAGGTTAACAATTTTTCAGAGAAGGAATACTAAAAAAAGGGGATTTTATCTATGATTTATTAATACAGTTAAGGTTTGTACCTCTTCCACGTCCGCGTCTACCACGATCAGCAGGTCTGTCCCCAGGACCACTATCCACACCATTTTCTTCTGCCCTAACTGAATAAAAGAACACCATTAATGGAGATCCCAACAAATGTTTTGTATGTTTAAAAAAAAAAAAAACGAACAAAAAGAAAACACAAATGGCGTACACTCTCTTCCCCGACTCTCCCGCCTCGGCCTCGTCTGTTGGATGTTCCTCTACCGCGACTCACTTCTCTGTCCCCTCTCTTCTCTCTGTTTTCTTTGTTTTCTGAACTTTCTTTGCCGATTTTCTTTTTGCCCCCAACAGTCTCCCAGGAAGTCTGCAGTAAAGAAAAGTCTATTCAGATCAAATGCAACCAAGATCACTGCCAACCTGGAGAAGTTTTAACGGTCCATAAACAATACAATCTAAATATACAAAACTTCTTTACACTTATCAAAACTGTTTTTAAGAATTTTATGTAAAGTTTTTATTCACACTTTAAATTGTCATGTAACTTAGTTGTGCACTCCAAGAATATCCCCTGCTCGGCAGGATGCTAATGGATGAGTGGTTTTATTTTACCACCGCTAATCACAAGGCCTAACTAATTTTAAATTTATGTCTGTCTAAGTGTATAGGGTCTTGTATATTAAATCAGCTATCAATATACAGCTACTAGCAGATATACACATGCAGCACCACAACCCATGTATATTGAAATAAATGAATGAATGAAAAACAAACAATTATATATATCTCACACACAGTGGATATACAAAGTCTACACACCCCTGTTAAAATGTCAGATTCCTGTGAAATGGTTTTCAACATTTTTTACAAATAAATCTGTGAAAAGTGTGGCGGCATTTGTATTCAGGCCACCCGGAGTCAATACTTTGTAGGACCCCCTTTCCCTGCAATTCCAGCTGCAAGTCTTTTTGGGATGTCTCTGCACATCTAGAGGGGAACATTTCTGCCCATTCTTCTTTGCAGAATCGCTCAAGCTCTGTCAGATTGGATGGAGAGCGTCTGGGAACAGCAATTTTCAAGTCTTGCCACAGATTCTCCATTGGATTTAGGTCTGGACTGTGATTGGGCCATTCTAACACATGAAGATGCTTTGATCTAAACCATTCCATTGTAGCTCTGGCTGGATGTTTCGGGTCGTTGTCCTGCTGGAAGGGGAACCTCCGCCCCGGGTCTCAAGTCTTCTGCAGACTCTAACAGGTTTTCTTCTAAGATTGCCCTGTATTTGGCTCCATCCATCTTCCCATCAACTTTAGCCAGCTTTCCAGTCCCTGCTGAAGAAAAGCATCCCCACAACATGATGCTGCCACCACCATGTTTCACGGTGGGGATGGTGTGTTCAGGGCGATGTGCAGTGTTAGTTTTCCGACACACACAGCATTTTGCTTTGAGGCCAAAAAGTTCAATTTTGGTCTCCTCTGACCAGAGCCCCTTCTTCCACATGTTTGCTGTGTCCCCCACATGGCTTCTCACAAACTGCAAACGGGACTTCTTATGGCTTTCTTCCAACAATGGCTTTCTTCTTGCCACTCTTCCATAAAGGACAGATTTGTGGAGTGCACGACTAATAGTTGTCCTGTGGACAGATTCTCCCACCTGGGCTGTGGATCTCTGCAGTTCCTCCAGAGTTCCCATGGGCCTCTTGGCTGCTTCTCTGATGAATGCTCTCCTTGCCCGGCCTGTCAGTTTAGGTGGATGGCCATGTCTTGGTAGGTTTGCAATTGTGTCATACTCTATTTTTGGATGATGAATTGAACAGTTCTCCGTGAGATGTTCAAAGCTTGGGATATGTTTTTTTTATAACCTAACCCTGCTTTAAACTTTTCCACAACTTTATCCCTGACCTGTCTGGTGTGTTCCTTGGCCTTTATGATACTGTTTGTTCACTAATGTTCTCTAGTAAACCTCTGAGGGCTTCACAGAACAGCTGTATTTATACTCAGATTACATGACACACAGGTGGAATATTTATGAATTGTCACTAAAGGTGACTTCTGAAGGCAATTGGTTCCACTAGATTTTAATTAGGGGTATCAGAGTAAAGGGGGCTGAATACAAATGCACGCCACACTTCTCACATATTTGTAATAAAAATTTGCAAAATCATTTATCATTATCCTTCCACTTCACAATTATGTGCCACTTTGTGTTGGTCTATCACATCCAATCCCAATAAAATACAATTATGTTTTTTTGGTTGTAACATGAAAAAATGTGGAAAACTTCAGGAGGTATGAATACTTTTTCATACTGTATGTATGTTTATATATATTTATTATGCACACACTATATTGTCAGAAGTATTGGGACACCTGCCTTTCCACGCACATGAGCTTTAATGGCCCCCCAGTCTCAGTCCATAGGGTTCAATATTGAGTTGGCCCCGCCCTTTGCAGCTATAACAGCTTCAACTCTTCTGGGAAGGCCGTCCACAAGGTTTAGGAGGGTGTCTATGGGAAGGTTGGACCATTCTTCCAGAAGCACATTTGTCAGGTCAGGCACTGATGTCGGGGGAGGAGGCCTGGCTCATGTTGGAACAGGAAGGGGCCATCCCCAATCTCCTCCTACAAAGTTGGGAGCATTAAATTGTCCAAAATGTCTTGGTATGCCGACGCCTTAAGAATTCCCTTCACTGGAACTAGGGGGCCAAGCCCAGCCCCTGAAAAACAACTCAACATCATAATCCCCCCTCCACCAAACTTTACACTTGGCACAATGCAGTACCGTTCTGCTGGCAACCGCCAAACCCAGACACGTCCATCGGATTGCCAGATAGAGAAGCATGATTCATCACTCCAGAGAACACGTCTCCACTGCTCTAGTCCAGTGGCGGCGTGCTTTACACCACGGCATCCGACGCTCTGCATTGCACTTGGTGATGTAAGACTTGGATGCAGCTGCTCGGCCATGGAAACCCATTCCATGAAGCTCTCTACGCACTGTTGTTGTGCTGATCTGAAGCCAACACCAAGTTTGGAGGTCTTTAACTATTGACTCTGCAGACAGTTGGCGAGTTCTGCGCACTGTGCGCTTCAGCATGCGCTGACCCCGCTCTGTCATGTGACGTGGCCTACCACTTGGTGGCTGAGTTGCTGTTGTTCCCAGTTGCTTCCTCTTTGTTATAATCCCACTAACAGTTGAGCGTGGAATATTTAGTAGCCAGGAAATGTCACGGATGGACTTATTGCCCAGGTGGCCACCTATCACGGGACCACGCTTGGAGTCACTGAGCTCCTGAGAGCGACCCATTCTTTCACCAATGTCTGTAGAAGCAGTCTGCATGCCTAGGGGCTTGATTTTATACACCTGAATCCATCGATTTGGAGGGCTGGCCCAAAACCTTTGGCAATAAATATATATATATATATATATATATATATTTTTTTTTTTTTTTTTTTTTTAAATAGGTTTCCCTCAGTAAGCTATGGGAGAAAATGGAAGCCTCACCGTGTCAGAGTTTCCTTCCAGCAGTATATTGATGGCTCTGTTCACATCCCCATTGCAATCATGGAGTGCCACAAGACACTCATCTTGGTTCTTTCCTGTCACTTCCATTAGCTGAAAACAGACAAAAGAAAACCAGTTGTAACTGCAACATCAAAAGCAACGGAGGATATTAAAGTGGAACTGCACTGCACCTGAGCATCACAAACCAAAACTGCTATTTAGTTCATTATTAATATTGAAAGCAAACTCACCCATCCATCCATGTCTCCATGCTTTATTTTGCTGGGAAATCACTTTGAAAAACACCCCCTAGCATTTCGGGCAGTGGCCATCTTGAGTAAGGGCAGATGATTCATGTAGCATTTACTTCTTGGAATCCAACTGCCCTTAGCTCACGCACTGGCTGAGCTAAGAACCCTCCCTCCTCTCCTGAAGACTGCTGGGGATGTATGACATCATTTGCCTAGGCATGAAAACTAGGAAGTAACTGAAGAAACGTAAAAAAAAGTTTAAAACAAGTCAATATGATATACTTTCCCATCCATTTACTGATGCTAGCAGCATAAGGACTAAAAATAGTCCATGTTGATTGGCAGAATGAAGTTCTGCTTTAACTACCACTCCAGGAGAAAAGGCTGCTTCAGGATCTCTCCTGTACTGGCTTAGGCCTTTGTTTACATGATCCCTGAAGAAGTGAGGAAAAGACCAAAACGTAACACCGATTCTTACCTTCATAAAAGAGCACATGACCAAAATTCTTAAGCTTTTGATCTTGTGAGCAGCAAAAAAATGAGTCTGGGATGGCACTCCCCCCCCCCCCCCCAAAAAAAAAAATAATTAAATATGAGAGAGAAACATTTTGGACCTATTATGTTTTATTTAATCCAACAATACAGAAATGTGGTATTAAAACCAAAAATTGAAAAAACACTGACAGAAGGGTTTTTTTTTTTCCATAACAGAAGACACCATTGTGGTCTCTCCTAATAAATGCCTTCTGCGGCCTGTCAGCGTTGGATGTAATGCACACCTCTGACCTCATTTACAGCAGCTCTGTGCCGTGATGAAGTAAGCAGGAGTGACGTCATCGCGGGCCGGCCATTTAAGTGACTGGAGAGGGCAAGCCTGGAAGGAAGACTAGGCGAAGATAAAAGCACCTGGGATAACAGAACGGTGACAATGCAGCACTGGAGGGTTGGTTTGACAGGTAAGTCTGCTATAATGTGCTGATATGTGGAGCATACTAGCACAATATGGCATAAATCTCCTGGGGGCCAAAAATATTTTGCAGAGTTTAACCACTTGCCGCCCAGCCATTGTAGATATACGGCGGCACTCGCAGGCAAAACCACGTTTTAAAACGTGTGTTTTGTAAACAAATAGGGAGGCGCGCGCGTGCGCCGCCCGCCCTATCTGTCCCACCAATCACCGCCGCAGATGTGAGTCGCCGGGTCACAGCCGATCCTTAGCGGCTGTTTCCCGGCGATCGGCGGCAAACAGTGACAGACAGCACAGCTGCAGTAGCTGTGCTGTCTGTCACTTCCCTGTCAGCTCGAGGATGAGCTGATCGAGAAAGAACAGTTCCTCTTTCTCGATCAGCCTTGTCCCGCCCAGTACACACCCCCGCCCCTGCCCCCTAGTAAAACACTCCCCTCACTCCTATAACCCTTCCCTGCAAAATAAAGTTAACCCCTTCCCCCCATTGCCATTAGTACAGTGTCAGTGTTTTTTTTTTTGCACTGATCACTGTATTAGTGTTTTTGGGGATGTCAGTGACCCCAAGTCAGTACCCCCCAATGTCAGAATGTCCGCCGCAGTCCCGCCATAAGTTGCTGGTCGCTGCCATAAGAACCCGATCGCCGCCATAATTCGCTGATCGCCGCCATTATTAGTATAAAAAAAAAAAAAACCTAAAAATCCCAGTATCTTTCCCGCCATTTGTAAACGCTATAACTTTCACGTAAACCAATTAATTTACACGTATTGGGTTTTTTTTTTTTTTTTTAGCAAAGACATGTCGCAGAATGCATTTTGGCAGAAATTTATGACTAAATTTGATTTTTGCATTTTTTTTTTTACTGGACATGTTTTATAGCAAAAAGTCCAAAATATTGTTTTTTTTTTCCTCAAAATTGTCAGTCTTTTTTTATATAGCGCAAAAAATAAAAAAAAACCGCACAGGCGATCAAATAACACCCGAAAGAAAGCTCAATTTGGGGGAAAAAAAAGGATGTAAATTTCATTTATGTACCGTATTGCATGACCGCGCAATTGTCCGTTAAACTATCGCAGCGCTGTATAGCAGAAAAATGGCGTAAATTGCAGTATCTATACCATAGTTTGTAGACGCTATAACACAAAGCAATCAATATACACTTATTGGGATTTTTTTTTACCAAAAACATGGAGCAGAATACATTTTGGCCTAAATTTATAACCAACTTTGAGTTTACTATATATTTTTTATAGCTGAAAGTAAAAAAATATTGTTTTTCTTCAAAATTTTTGGCCTTTTTTTGTTTATAGCGTGAAAAATAAAAAGCGCACAGGTGATCAAATTACACCGATAGAAAGCTCTATTTGTGTGAAAAAAAGGACGTAAATTTCGTTTGGGTGCAGCGTTGCATGACCGCGCAATTATCAGTTGAATTTGTGCAGCGCCGAGTAGCAAAAAGAGGCGTGGTCATTAAGGGGGGTAAATCCTCTGGAGCTCAAGTGGTTAATACTGCTCTAGAGCTACATGTTAACTTTAAAGTACATCTAACACTTCTGCAGCCAGCACTTCAGAACCTACACTGTGCACATGTGCAAAAATCCACCAGTTGTCACATTCTAAATCTAAGGCCTCATGTACATTGAACATTTTTTCTCTCTCTCCTAGACAACTTTCCTCCTGGGAGTGGCATTTTGTAAGAAAAAAATGTTTGATGATTGTAAAACGCGTTTAGGTGTGTTTAGCTGTGTCAACCGTTTGGGCATTAATTCATTTTTACTGGCCAGGATAATTTATTCTGGCCAGTGAAGTGAATTAATGCTAAAGTGCTAAAAACAGAATGTTCATTTAAATGCATTTCCATGCCTCAAGCATTTTTCTGCCAAAACGCTGCTGTTCCTGGGCACACTGGCAGTGGGTTTTTTTCCTCTGGCTTTAAACACCCCTGCCTATAAACGCCTCTAAAAGCCTATGTGTGCATGGATTTACAGGATAACATGCAGGGACGTTTAGAGGCAAAAGCAAAGGAAAAAAAAGAAAACAAAACCCCGCCAGATATCCCTAGGAGCAGCTGAAAAAACACACAGTGAGGCCTAACACTGGACTTCCAAGCAGCAGAAAACAGTAAGCATGCCTCTTGTGTAAGGCCCAACACTGAGATATGTTTATCAAACACTCAACTTACCTGCTTCACTTTATCTTCAAAATCTGCATCATTTTTATCGTAGATCATCTGTGCGAGGCGGATCTGCTCAGCTGTTGCCTACAAAAAAACATAATAAAGAACGTAAACTCTAGACGACATACACACAGTCCGTAAGTTTGGGAATGACTAAGCAGTAATAAGTTTATGCATTTAAAGGGTTTAAACTACAAAAACAAAACAAAAAACAGCACAATTCCACAGGAAAGAAAAACCTGCAGTGAGAGAAAAATGATGTTGGCCACTTCAGACTGCCATCAGAAAATGCTGGCTCTCTGGCTTTAAGGTTTCATTAGCAACTGATACCTATGATGTTCAAGTGGTTGTAAAACTTTTTTTTTTAAAATAAAATAAAAAAACATGTTATACTTGCACAGAGCGGCCCCGATCCCTCTCTTCTCAGGTGCCCGGCTGAAAAAATGCTTCCTATGGCTCCCACTGCTATTGATCTACCCAGTGAGGAGGTACAAAGCCAGGAGACACGCTGCTCCATCCAAAAGGAGAAGTTCCATTTTAAGTTTTGTCCCCCGCTCCCCATTAAGGATTGGCACCTTTGGGGAGCAGGTACCCGAATTTGAAAGGTACCCGCTGCCACCTAGGCGATCAGAAGCAGAAGTTGTCCTCCCCCCGTAGTCTTCTGGGACACGCGACAGGTCCCAGAAGACTACGGGGCCATTCACAAAGCGCAGGGCTTCTCGCGCATCTGCAGTGGGCACCCGGCTGTGAAGCTGCAAACTGTCACAGCCGGGTGCCCATACTAAAGATGCCGGCACCAGGGAGAGAAGACCGCCGGTGAAACTAGACGTGGTGAGGACACCGCTGGACCGAGGGACAGGTAAGTGGCTGTATTTTAAAAGCCAGCAGCTACAGTTTTTGTAGCTGCTGACTTTTTTTTTTCAAGGTGGAACTCCACTTTAAGCATTTTACAACCACTTTCAGTAAGAACTCATGATATGTGAGGGAAAGAGCTTATCTATTTTTTAAGAGACAAAATTGCTGTCCACAGCCCTTAAACATTTGCTCATCTTTGCTGCTAGGCTGGTCCTGACTTCATGTCTTTTTCCCTGGGCATTACAGTTCCATGTTCTGCATGTAGACCACCTTTGTGTACTCTCTGCAGCAATAGCTTTGTGTAAAGTCCCCGCAGTTCCCAGTACTACAGTGGTGACATAATGATGCAGCTGCCACAGTCAGTGGTCTTTACTATTATCCCAAACAGCAGCGCATCTGAATCAAACACCTTGGAATACACAGAATTCTGGGGACACGTAGCACTTGTATCACCACTGCTCTCTGCGCACCACCACACCACTGGAAGAAGAACGGGACAGGAGTTGTCATGCGGCAGCTATATCATATTCCTTAAAAGTTAAAAAAGGTATTTAGCTGGAAATTTTAGATAAAAGGAGGAATGTACTGGGGTAGAAAACGAGAACGGAAGATGCAATTATTACTTTGATGCCTGGAGTTCCGCTTTAAAGTGTATTAAAAGTTAAACTAATGCCGTAACACCCTTGCCCCCAACCCTCATCCCTGCTGTACTTACATCCATGGGTGCTGAGCTGTCAGTGCCCACGTAGACTGTGTAGCGGTCCGGTGATTTGAATTCCCCACTCCAATCTGTGCAACACATTTGAGGCAGATTAGAGTGATTCTGATTGGTCAGCACCAGCACAGAGTATTGCTCTGCTCCATCTTGGAAGCTCTGCAGAGAGAAGAGGGTCAAGAGCAGGGATTTCAAATCCCCAGAACACACTACACCAGTTGCATGGATACTTACAGCTCAGCACCCACGGAGTTAAAGCGGAGTTCCACTCACCTGTCAAAAAATAAAAGTCAGCAGCTACAAAAACTGTAGCTGCTGACTTTTAAAAAAAAAACCAGCCACTTACCTGTCCCTTGGTCCCGTGGTGTGTCCCCCGCAGCCTGTTTCACTGGCTGTCCTGTATTCCAGGAAGCCGGCATCATCAGTGTGGGCACTTGGATGTGACAGCTTGCGGCTCGACAGCCGGGTACCCACTGCGCATGCGTGTGAGTAGCGCTGCACTTCATGAATGGTCCTGTAGTCTTCTGGGACCTGACATGTCCCAAAAGACTACAGGGAGGGAGGGAGGACACCTTCCGATCGCCTAGGTGATCGGACCGGAAGTGGGAGCGGGTACCTGTCAAATTCGGGTACCCGCCCCCCAAAGGTGCCAATCCTTAATGGGGGAGCAGTCCTTAAAGAGAAACTTCCCATTTTGGAAGGAACTCCGCTTTAAGTACAGTGGGATCGGAGGAAGTGGGGAGGGTGTACAGTGCTAGTTCACTACTGAATTTTTACTGAAAAGGTGAACTGACACCGACGTGCAGATTTCTTGCACAGCCGTCAGGTTACACATTGGAGATTCCTGCGCAGAAAAAAAATCTTTTAAGGACATTCCTCAACAACCACTCTCAGCAGAAAAGGATAGAATTTTGTAGGCATCTCCCTCAATCGAGCAGGAAGGTTCACGTGACTTCACAGTTTCCAGTTTAGGGCAGAAAGCTTCTGACCGCTGGCTGATGTCTATGGAAGATTAAACTCTTTTCTTCTTCAATACACATGAGCTTTAGTTGCAGGATATTATCCCCTGGTTGACAGCCACCTCATTTGCAATGCATTGAAAATCAATCCGCTGCCAAGACGACAACTGTCAACACACAGTTAGTCTCAAACTACTCAGCGAAAACCACCTGAAATTGTTGGCTGTTGGGAGAGATCACTAAAGGGGTTTTTCACCATTCAACAACACGTTTGTGTTTATTCTGAAAAGAGAGCAAATGTTTTTGTATTTAAAATTTTATTTTTTTTTCGTTTAAAAATTAATTTTTAAAATAGTCAAGACTGGTATTCCAGACCCAGCTGGGAAGACCTACCTGTACCTGTTTCTGTGGTTGTGTCTGTGGAGTTGAAATCTGTGTTTTTTCCCGAGTGCCCCGGGTACGTTCATTTCCCACCGAAGTCATCATATACAGTATATACAAAACAATGTATGTACAAAATAGAAAATCTGCAAAGAGAAAAACACACAAGGATTTTAGTGTATTAACAGATTTCAAGGTAGACAGCTTACAAATACAGGCAGTCCTCAGGTTACAAACAAGAAAGGGTCTGTAGATTTGTTCTTAACCTCCCTAGCGGTCTGATTATGTCCATATTTCTGTGCTCAGAGCGGTACATTTTTTTGCATGGAAATATGTTTTTTTTTTTTTATTGTAGGCCTGTAATTCTTAGGAATAACTCACTGAAATCTGTCCGAACAAGAGTCTAGTAAACATTCCGGGTATAATAAAACTTGAAACACGAAATCATAAAAAATAATATACAGTATTTTTCTGGCGTATAAGACTACTTTTTATGCTTAAAAATATACCCCAAAAATTGGGGGTCGTCTTATACGGGGGGTATAAAATGTGAACCTTGAGTTTGTTTGGGTCAAGCTGGCTAAATGTGTGGTAATACTGTACATACAGTATACTGCGCTGAGCCAAACTGGCTCAAAACAAATGTCCCTATGACAGATGAATCTGTCAGCCTGCTGGATGTGCGGTATATACAGTATACTGCGCTGAGCCAAGCGGGTTCAAAACGTACCGATACGTCCCTACTGTAATCAGCCCGCTGGATGCGTGTATGTACGGTAGCTGCAGCTACATACAGTATACACTGGGCCAATCACGGCGAGCAATGTATTCTACTAATGAATACAAAGCCTGCTCAGATTGGCTGAGTCAGAGAGGTGGGCTGATGATGTCACAACCTCAGCCAATCCGAGCAGGCTTTGTATTCATTAGTAGAATACATCGCTTGCCGTGATTGGCCCAGCGTATACTGTATGTAGCCTCAGCTACTGTACATACACGCATCCAGCGGGCTGATTACCGTAGGGACGTACCAGTACGTTTTGAAACAGCTTGGCTCAGTATACTGTATATACCACAGTGGTATGTATCAGTATACTGTATATGCCACACATCCAGCGGGCTGACAGAGTAATCTGTCATAGGGACATTTGTTTTGAGCCAGCTTGGCTCAGCGTGGTATATTGTATGTACATTACCGCACATCCAGCGGGCTGTATATATACTGTATACTGTATGTAGCCGAAGCTGCCGTATTACCGCACATCCAGCGGGCTGTATATATACTGTATGTAGCCGAAGTATGCCGTATTACCGCACATCCAGCGGGCTGTATATATACTGTACACTGTATGTAGCGAAGCTGCCGTATTACCGCACATCCAGCGGGCTGTATATATACCGTATACTGTATGTAGCCGAAGCTGCCGTATTACCGCACATCCAGCGGGCTGTATATATACTGTATACTGTATGTAGCCGAAGCTGCCGTATTACCGCACATCCAGCGGGCTGTATATATACCGTATTACTGTATGTAGCCGAAGCTGCCGTATTACCGCACATCCAGTGGGCTGTATATATATACCGTATACTGTATGTAGCCGAAGCTACCGTATTACCGCAAATCCAGCGGGCTGTATATATACCGTATACTGTATGTAGCCGAAGCTGCCGTATTACCGCACATCCAGCAGGCTGTATATATACTGTATACTGTATGTAGCCGAAGCTGCCGTTTAACCGCAAATCCAGCGGTAACATCTGATTTGGAATTTGATCCATATGATGACTCTGACATCATAAGTTCATGAATGACATCTTGCGATACATTTGTAAGAGGATGAACATGAGGATTTGGAAGGATTTTAAGTACCGGTAAGTCATAACCATTTCAATTAAAAAAATCTGTTTTTAAATGGTGTTGCCTCAGAAGGGGGGTAGTCTTATACGGCGAGTATAGCCCAAAACCTATGTTTTAACTGGAAAATTAGGGGGTCGTCTTATACACCCAGTCGCCTTATACGCCGGAAAATACGGGTAATACATTTAATTCAATAATATAATCAAACCAAAAACACTGAAATGTGAATTATAGCGCCAAGTTCGCACATCACTGAGCTCAGTCGCAGAATCGTTTTCAGTGTCTGATGAGGAATTTCCCCCACGAATCATTATCACTCAATTCTGCAAGTGGTTCTGATTTACTATCGCTGTTCTCTAGCCGGTCTAAAACCGCTTTTGACCTAAAAGGGACGCTTTTTGGACGCCATGGACGTTTCTCAGTTTCCAGGCAGAAAGAAGAGTAAAAATGCAGGCAGGGCGCCGGACAAAGCACTCGGGACAAAATGTATGTGAAATGGTTTGATACAGGAATGTTATACTATGTGATTTTACTGTATTGACTGAATGTCACATTTTGACATTTTTTAATTTCCTGACGTCGCAGGGAACGGAAACCGGGAAGACAGATGCCGGCATCAGCTGGAGGACATGGCCGGGGACGCTGCAGGGGTGACATCGCGGGAGCGCACGACAAGGTAAGTGAAACCGGGATTCCTGAGCGACGCTGCAGGGTAATCTCGAGTGTAGCTCAGGGGTTACCGCTTTTGGTACTGAAAAATAACCCCGAGCTACACTCGGGAATACCTCCAGGGGGCTTACGTTGAATTTGTATGCAAGTTGGAACAGATACATTTTTATTTAAGGGTAATTCAAGCCGAAAATTTTTTTTTTTTTATGTTTTTGTGAATAGCATAGGGAAGGGTTAACACCCCTGTAACACCCTCTTCAAGTTGTCAGCCGCAATGGCAGACAGTACTTGTAGGCATTCATTCATAGGAAACTGAATGAATGATGCGGAGCTCCCACGACTGTGTTGTTTTCAAACTGTGACAGCAGGTGTGGGAAGAGGATCCTCCACCCGCTGTCACAAGGCATAGAGGCTGCAGATGCTGGAACATGTAACATGTTCCAAAGGTGAACTTATCCTTACATTCATAATCTTATATTTAAAAAGTTAGGGTTTGATATAAGTGCATCCTGTGCTTTATATACTAAAGACAAAAGCAGCACCTGTATTGTTTGGAGGCTCCCCACTGTTAATTCAAAAAAAAATGTATATATAATTAAAAGGTCCCTTGGCATCAGAGACACCGCTCTCTCTTGGTTCTTGTCCTATCTATCCCAACGCTCCTTCAGCGTTTCCTACAACGGCGCCACCTCCTCTTCCCCTCCCCCTCTCTGTTGGGGTCCCCCAGGGCTCTGTCCTTGGACCCCTTCTCTTCTCCATCTACACCTCCTCCCTTGGCAAACTCATACACTCCCACGGCTTCAACTACCACCTCTATGCTGATGATACTCAAATCTACCTATCCACCCCTCACCTCACCCCCACATTTCTCCGCCCGCATCACTCACCTCCTAAACGACATCTCTGACTGGATGTCGCTCCATTTCCTCAAACTCAACCTCTCCAAAACCGAGCTTCTCGTCTTTCCCCCTTCCCCTGCTGCCCCCCCCCCCCCCCATCCTTTCCATCACTACTAACAACACCACCATCAATCCCGCCCAGCAAGCCAAGGTCCTTGGCGTCATTCTGGACTCAAACCTTTCCTTCCAACCTCATGTCAAATCACTCACAAATACATGCAGGCTCCACCTTCGCAACATCGCCAAAATACGCTCCTTCCTTACCCCAGACACCACTAAACTACTCGTACACTCCCTGATTATCTCACGCCTTGACTACTGCAACTCCCTCCTCACAGGCCTACCCCAGTGCAAACTCTCCCCGCTTCAGACCATCCTGAACTCAGCTGCCAGACTCATCCACCTCACCACCCGCTCCACCTCTGCCACCCCCCTCTGCCTCTCCCTCCACTGGCTCCCCATTGCCCAACGCATTAAATTCAAACTGCTCACTCTGACCTATAAAGCCATTCACAACACTGCCCCTAACTACCTCACCGACCTGATTCCCAAGTACCACCCTACCCGTACCCTTCGCTCTTCACAGGACCTCCTTCTATCTTGCTCCCTGGTCTCCTCCCCACGCACGACTGCAAGACTTCTCCAGGTCCTCCCCCATCCTCTGGAACTCACTACCCCAATCCATCAGACTGTCACCTTCCCTCCTCACCTTCAGGCGCTCCCTGAAAACCCACCTCTTCAGGGAAGCCTACCCCACCCTCACCTAACAGCCGCTGCCCTTCCCTCCTCCTACCACTCCATCCCCCACAGCCGTTTCCTCCTGTACCTCTACCCCCTCCCTCCTAGATTGTAAGCTCGAAAGAGTAGGGCCCTCTTACCCCTCGTGTGCTGTTTGATGTTACTGTACTGTTTCATGTATTGTCCCCCCTCTATTGTACAGCGCTGAGCAAACCCTTTGGCGCTATATAAACTCGATAAATAAATAAATAAAAAAAGGTAACAGATTTCGAAGAAGGCAGCTTACAAATAACAGAATCCTCAAAGGATTGAAAGGAAATCTGTAACAGTGCATTAAAAAAAAAACTACAGTGTTTATTATAAATGCATGCTGTGCTTACTATCCAAAGAACAAAATAGTGTCTGTATGCAACAAGGCTTCCAACTGTTATATATACAGTTGTGTTCAAAATAATAGCAGTGTGTTGAAAAAAGTGAATAAAGCTGAAAATCCTTCTAATAGCTTTTATTTCCATCCACACAAATGCATTGGGAACACGACACATTCTATTCCAAATCACAACATGAAGAAAAATACATCAAATTTGTGTTCCTCTAAAAAAAATTGAAAATGAATATTAGACGGTTCAAAAAAAATAGCCGTGTTTGTATTCTTCTTTACAAACTCAAACATTCACTATATAAACTGAGAAATGTTTGAAGATTTTGCTTTCCTTAGTGCGACTTCAACCAAATATTCATGAAGTCATTCAGTTTCTGAGAACTGCTGTACATCTGTGTTGCATGGAGTCCCCCCAACTTCTGGCCCCTGTGATCAGGTATTCCAGCCCAGGATGATTGGACCACATTCCACAGTTCTTCTCTATTTCTTGGTTTTGCCTCAGAAACGGCATTTTTGATGTCACCCCACAAGTTTTCTATTGGATGAAGATCCGGGGATTGGGCTGGCCACTCCATAACGTCCATCTTGTTGGTCTGGAACCA